GGGTCCCTTCGTGTCTGTGCTACCCGGTAACCCGGTACCAGCAACTCTCGTCGTCCACCACTGGGGCTGTCTGTCCTTATCCGAGAAGACTTGTTCTACCACCGGAACCATAGGCGAGCGTGTGTCCCTGCTAACCGCTCGGCCATTTGACTCATTCGATAAGACATTGTGGAATAATCATAAACAGGACCCTAGTAATTATAAATGTGAAAGTAGTCGCTTCATGGACTTATCAGTCTTTAACAAAATGTAAAAGGCACATTTAAAAAAATAAAAGAAACAACACTTACTCTGCATCATCTGCATGACAGAAAACTTGTACAGATGACGGCAATGGTGGCCATTCCAATACTTGCACAGGCCACATCATGGACAATGGTATGCCTGGCAATCGAGCCCAATAGATATCTCCTGGATAAATTCAAATTTTAATTATTATTATTATTTTTATTATTATTATTAATATTATTATTATTATTATTATTATTATTCATTAGAGCTATTATTAACTACCTAACAATAGATTACATATTACTCATAATGAAAACAAAATAAAAGAAAATGCAAATTTACTAAGGCCTATTAAAAAAAGTTATGTTGGCGTAATCCGACTGAAGCTAAAATATTGCTGATCCTAGACATTTTTATTTCAAGTTTGCGATACTACTTTACTAAAATTCCAACCTACCTTCCCTATAAAACTTTTTTTAGACCTGAGTTCTAGGCCAAACTGTAAGACTTCATCTTAAAAACAAGATTATTTGGGTACAATTCAACACATACACCAACTCGGCCCTTGCCAACTCTGCCCTTTAGGCTTTACCAACTCGGCAGGGGCAGCGCCAGTGGGGGAAGGGGAATTTTGGGAGCAGGTCAAAACGGCAAAAATAAGTACAAAAACGGCAATAGACCAAAACGGCAATAGGCATAGACCAAAACGGCAAAGGAGCAAAAATCAATGCCAATTGAATGAAGCGTCACCGGGCGTGGGCAGCAGTTTATAATTTTCTGAGTCGTGTTTTTTTTTTTTTTTTTACACACCCATAACTAGGCTTATATTATATTAAAGTGTTGTTTATTATTATTATTTTTTTCTGTTTTTTACTTTCATGGCATAATATTGTTTAGCTCATTTTATCTGTATTTCAAGGTTTTAATCTAAATGTTCACTGCTTTTATAGCAGTCTTTTTACTATTGAATTGTATTGTATGTTATTATTAATAGGCCCCCTATTATTATTCTTTCTAGTGTTTTATTTTGCTTTCACGCTTTTTTACTTTTGATTTTAATTGTTTAGCCTCATTTTGTCTGTATTTCAAAGTTTTAATTAAAATTTAAATGTCTACTGCTTTTATATTGTGATCCCCAATCTTTTTACTATTGAATATGTATTATTACCTATTATTATTATTATTATTATTAGGCCTATTATTTTTTATTATTATTATTATTGTTTTTTTTACTTCTGACAATTTAGCCTCATAATCACTGTATTTATCATTGTAGCCTACACTTTCATGTTTATAATTGGTTTTAGGAATTAAGTTTTACTTCTTAAAAAAAAACGACCCGGAACCCAGTAGGCCTAGGCTATGTCATTCTGGAAGTGATGCCATTTTGGTTTATTGCCGTTTTGACTTAGGCCTATTGCCGTTTTGGTCTTGCCGTTTTGACATTGCCGTTTTGACTTATCATGCCGTTCTGGTTGAAAAGAGTTGCCGTTTTTGTTTTTTGCCGTTTTGCTCATTGCCGTTTTGACTTATTGCCGTTTTGGTTTTTTGCCGTTCTGTCCAGCAACCAAAGACAGTTGTCAATCAAGGTTTGCATCCGAGCATGACTAGAATCCCGTTGGTCAGAACGTTTTTCTTCCATAGTTAGAGTTGCCTCAAACTTGCAGTTTGGACTCTTTCCTATCCCAAACCCAATTGATAAGGTCAATAAA